ACCTCGATTAAGCTTTTTATTTAATTTTTTTTTGTGTTCGGACAAATGTTTTTTTTCTGGATGCAAAGTGTATGTAAAACTGTCCAAAAATATATGCAGAACTTTTTGGACAGTTTTTTCAGTTGTCTTTAATAAAACACACACACACACACATACATACATATATATATATATATATATATATATATATATATATATATATATATATATATATATATATGCATGTTTCATTAAAACGACAGACAAGGTAAGTGGTTGAGCTTTTTTATTTAATTTTTCTTGTGTTCTGACAAGAGCTTTCTTTTCTGGACAAAGAGTGTGTAAGAACTGTCCGAATGTTCTGTATTTCCGAGCGCTTTCGGCTATATCTTTAGCCATTATCAAGGATGATTCAATATCAGCTTAGTAGAGTGTGTGTGTGTTCTGTGTATGTTCAGTGTGTGGTAGTGATGTTTTTAGTTTCCGAATACGGTTAGCACATTGTGGCTTTGTTCATAGTTAATATTGTTAAGAGTTGGCTTTTTTTTCTTTTTATTATTAGAGCTTCCATTATTTTTAGTCTTTTTTTGCAAGTGGATGCAGTTAATATATTTGTGTTTTCTACTAGTATGTTCCTAATAGTGTCGGGTAAATCTGAGTGTGTGTTTAAATGTGTTCTGATGGAACTGTGATCAGATAGGTGTAATGTAAGACGTCTGGATAAAATGTGATTGTGATTGATGTAATTATTTATATATATATATATATATATATATATATATATATATATATATATATATATATATATATATATATATATAACGTTAACATTTCCTTCTTCTATGCCGTGCGACGACTGATACCAAATGGGTAGGTTTTCGATACCGGCTTGAAGCAATCGGACGTCTAGCCACACTGAAGAGGTGTGATATAGCGAAACAGTCTGTCTGTGGATGACATTATAGATGTGCTTTGTTATATATATATAATTGTAGGACTTTGTCCATTTCATAATATATATATATATATATATATATAAGCGCACGCACAAACACAGAGAATACAAAAGAAAACTTACACCAACGTTAAATGTGCATAAAAGGTAAAAATCAAAAAAGTACAAGCAGTAAATTGCTGATTCTCGCTGAAGACTAGACGGGTTGCTAAAAGTAACATCAGCCCTCATTAATACTATATATATATATATATATATATATATATATATATATATATATGTGTGTGTGTGTGTGTGTGTGTGTGTGTGTGTGTGTCTGTGTTGTTAAATTATTATTACTTTAAAAGTTATTTTAGTGGATGCCCATATTTGAGTAGACGACCCGTTTATTTTAAACAATATTTTATTTTGTCTACCGACCAGAACATTCGAAAAATTTTATTAATGAAAAATGGGCTCTCCGGCAAGATTGTATATACTATTGTTTACTCTATATAAGGCACAGAAGCCACTCAATGTAGAGGGTTTCTGAATGCGGTCGTTGTAAGTGCATACAAGGGAAAATCGAGAATTGCATTTCTTAAGTACAGTAGAATCCGAAATCCCTCATATCCGGAATCCCGTATATTCGGGCATGATTTTGATGTGTATATTTGGGAGATATGTAACTGATTTGAAATTTCTGTTTTTCAGGAAATTTACTTTGGATAATTGCTTCTGCTTACTTCACCCTAATGGTTTGTATTGTTGTAAAAGATGATGGGAATAAGAGGAAAAGAACAACTTTGGAGTTATCGCAAAAAGTGGAAATTTTAAACAGACTAGATGCTGGTGAAAGTTTATTGTAACATAGGAAAAGTCAACATTGTATGATATAAAATCTTCCAAAGAAACTATTCTCCAGCGTTCACACTGCCACAATGAACAAGGAAATAAAAAAAAACATGATTGCGATGAAACCTCGACTGAAATTGAAAAGGCTATTGAAAAGTTTGTTAATTTTATGGGAAGAAAGCCCGCATTCAGCTATGACGATTGCAATAATACAGAGTCAAAAAGTGTCTTTCGATAATAAAAATTTCAAGAACAAAAGCAAAACGAAATGAGAAAAAAGTTGAGAATGACATTTGAAGAGAAAGAATCATCATGCAACAGTGATTAAAAAATCTTCGTTACATTATTTGTTTTGCATAAGTGGCATACTTAATTTAATGAATTTTCATTAACATTACATAATTTATTTCTTTTTCTTTAAAATCAATTCCGTTATATTTCACTCGCCATTAGCTTATTTTGTTTCCTATATAAACATTGAAAATAAATATTAAAACTGATTCCAGCTCTTTTATTTTAACCTAAATATAACCTCTCATATCCGGACTTTGTAACCGATTTCTCATATCAGGAAGGCCTTCTTAGTCCGGTTGTCATGGATTCTACTGTATTAAATGTTGCAAGTTAGTTTTTCCGCCCATTAGGTTTTTAGAGCTAGTTAGAAGGAGAGATCAGCTACTAGGCTCTGGTCATTTAGATTTTTATAGGAGCACCCATATACCGTTTTATCACCTGCATAGATATTCACGAAAGATCCGAGTAGGTTCTTGTGCAGATCATTAATATATAACAGAAAGAGGATAGGACCGAGAAGCGATCTTTGGAGTTTGCCTGCAGTGATCTCAAGGACACTGAATGACTGTCTATTAACAACGACCTTCCTGCCAGGAAGGACTTGATTATTGACAAAACTCTTCCATAGTTAGAGGGCTTGTCTATCAAACCCCTATCCTATATGTTCTCAAAATGCTTCGATAATAACTAAGGCGATCGTATTCATTGTCGAAATAATGAAAAGGATATCAACATTGGACCTAACAGAATGAAATCCAGGGGTTGTCCCGGTTGACAATCTCCTTGTTAATGACAGTCTCAAAGAGTTTACTCGGCCAATATTGCGAAGGTATAAGCGTTCACCCGTATTCTTGAGAACAACGCATACATTTAACATCTTTCATAGACTTGAGAAAAAATTCTCGGCAAAAATGGACATTCGTGCCCGTAATATGACGTTTTTTTTTTTCAAAGGGACTGTTTTTTATTGACACCGCTATTATTTTAACTACGTTCACTCCCTCGGCAATGTTTGTTTACATGAATATAAAAAAAAAATCTTCTATTTACTATTTTATAAATAACTATAAAAACGAGTTTTTCATTTATAATTTTGGCAATTAGCCCAGGTTTTAAAACTTGTTGTATTGGTCATGGTTTACATATTTTAATATTTTTTTTTAATTAAAAGATTTCTTTTCACATTTATTTCTTTATAAAATTGCAAATAATAAATATTCATAAAAAGTAAATATTTTTTATAATTTTGTAAATAAAAATTGCCGACCGATTTAGTATAGTTAAAATATTAGCGGTGTCAATGCAAAAACCTTCCTGTTGAAACACCGCTTTTTGCGGACACGGACGTCTGTGTTTGCCGATTTCTCGTTCAGGAAATGGTTTAAAGAACTTACCAAGATCGGAGATAACTCTGGGATAATATTCTTAAAGAACAACCACCAGGATTTTATCTGAACAGATTTTATGGCCAAAAGGATTTTGATGAATCTGGAAACTTCAAAGGCTGTGATTCATTGTGTGTTCCCAAGTATCTCGTCGCATTGACTACCTCAAACTTAAAAACAAACCCTTCAAGCTTATATATATATATATATATATATATATATATATATATATATATATATATATATAGAGAGAGAGAGAGAGAGAGAGAGAGAGAGAGAGAGAGGTTCCCAACTGCCCCCGCTCAAGAAGAGACATACACACTGTACGGTCAGCCACCCAGGGACATGGTCAACTGGTTAAGGTCGTTCAAGTCCAGGTTGCCGATCAAAAGCTCAAAGTTAATTTCAGGCGTTTTCGGTGTACTTTAACTAGAAAAAAAGAGTATTTAATTAGTGTCAATCAATGTACCGAAACTTTTTCAAATATTTTTACCAATACATCGTACGTATATAATTGGTTTTATTGATTGATTTGTTTTTTTACGACTTATCAACCCTTTGCTTGTTATTTAAAAATAGAAAATATTTTTAGATTGTGAAAAAAGATTTTTTAGATAATAATTGTTTGGTGATAAAAGTCAAATTAACTCATACATAAAAGAAGTGGTGGATTCTTACCTTAACCGGGGATATTTGGGCGTAAGTGAATATAACAAACCCGATCGGAATTGGAACTCGGTTGTCCAATTAACAATTCCGAGCCATTATCTTTTACACCACCCGAGGATTGAAGTCTACAGTACTTGGCATTCACAAGTGCTCACCCATCTAGATACTGATGACCAGGCTCAAAGTTGTTTAACTTTGGTAATCGTACGGAATCCGGAATTTCAATGCTATATGCCCGTAAGCCTGTATTTTTCTAAGAAAGGAAATGAGAGTAAATGGAGTGAGAGATTTTAGGAAGGAATAGCTAATAACTATTCAAGGTAATAGAAAAGAGTGAAATATTTCTAATCCTTAATTAACCCAGTACAAGGCTCGGGAGCCGCTCAAACAGAAGGATACTGTTAATGAATGAAAGAGGAAGTGGTAGGTGTTGTTAATGATTATGAGAATACTGACGCTAAATAGCGATTGACCTTTGACTTGAAAATGGGTTAAGATTGTAGTGCGCCAGAAAGCATCCACGCGGGAGTATATTCTAAGAAGAGTAACAGTTCTTCAGTAAAATCTGAGTTGAAAATTTGAAGTACTGAGGAAATGAAGGTGATTCGAATTCCTGGATGTAGTATGGTTTGTCCTTAGCTGTAATAAACGAAAGTGATGAGACTAAGGATTGGAGCTGATAGATAGATAGATATGAACAGATTGAGATAGATAGATAGATAGATAGATAGATAGATAGATAGATAGATAGATAGATAGATAGATTAAACGAATGTAAGACAATTAAAAATGATCAAGCTGGAAAATGCAAAAGAACGAAATACGCTCAAAGGCCAGTGTGAAAAAACAAGGAAAGAAAGAAGAATAGTGGAAAGAGAGATATTCTAAAGGAAGACAGAGAAAGGACGGAAGAAAGGTATAAGATGTGGGGAGAAGGAAAAAAGAAAGTGGAAAAGAGACATGATTTGTAAGAAAGAAAGAAAGAAAGAAAGAAAGAAAGAAAGAAAGAAAGAAAGAAAGAAAAAGAAAATATGTGAGTAAGAAAAAGAAAATGAAAATGAAAAATATTTTGAAAGAAAGATCAAAAGAAAGAAAATATTTTGAGAAAGAAGAAAGAAACTGAAATGAGAGATGTTTTGAAAGAAAGAAATAAGAAAGAAAGAAAGAAAGAAAGAAGAAAGAAATAAGAAAGAAAGAAAGAAAGAAAGAAAGAAGAAAGAAAGAAATAAGAAAGAAATAAGAAAGAAAGAAAGAAAGAAAGAAATAAGAAAGAAAGAAAGAAAGAAAGAAGAAAGAAAGAAGAAAGAAAGAAATAAGAAAGAAAGAAGAAAGAAAGAAGAAAGAAAGAAATAAGAAAGAAATAAGAAAGAAAGAAAGAAGAAATAAAAAAGAAAGAAAGAAAGAAAGAAGAAAGAAAGAAATAAGAAAGAAATAAGAAAGAAAGAAAGAAAGAAAGAAAGAAATAAGAAAGAAAGAAAGAAGAAAGAAAGAAAGAAAGAAAGAAAGAAATAAGAAAGAAATAAGAAAGAAAAAAGAAAGAAAGAAAGATTGTGGAAAATTAATAATAGAATAATTATTAAAATGAGTAAGTGAAAGAAAGACAGAAAAATGAATGAATAAATGAAAATGAAATTGATAAAAAAATTATAAACACAAAAGAAGGAAGAAAGACTGAATGAATGATTGAATACTGAAAAATCTCTTTTTTTAAATCAAAGGGCAAAACTTTCACAGTGAATTCCAAGAAAGCTGTTAGTAAATAAATAAAGAACAGTGTAATTAAAGAAGATATGAAATGAATGAAAAAGAATGAAAAAAAAATGAAAAACATTAGGAAATAAAATAAATAGAAATATTTGTAGAATTAAATTAAATTTTAATCAGAATGAAGAAACGAAAGAAAACAAATGAGATGAATCTAAAATCCTTAACCCAAAAGAAAAAATCCTTAACCCAAAAGAAAAAATCCTTAACCCAAAAGAAAAAATCCTTAACCCTTAACCTAAAAAGAAAAAATTTTAACCCAAAAAAAAAATTTTAAACCCAAAAGAAAAAATTAACCCAAAAGAAAAAACTTAACCCAAAAAGAAAAAAACTTAACCCAAAAAGAAAAAATCTAAACTCCAAAAGAAAAAAATCTCAACAAAAGAAAAAAATCTTAACCCAAAAGAAAAAATCCTTAACCCAAAAGAAAAAATCCTTAACCCAAAAGAAAAAATCCTTAACCCAAAAGAAAAAATCCTTAACCCAAAAGAAAAATTTTTAACCCAGTAAAAAAATCTCAACCTAAAAGAAAAATCTCAAGAAAAAAAGAAAAACTTAACTGTTTCTCAAAAAAAAAACTTAACCCAAAAGAAAAATAACGTAATCAAACCCAAAATCTAAAAAAGAAAAAAAAAAAAAGAAAAATTCAACCCAAAAGAAAAATCTCAACCCAAAAGAAAAAATAACCCAAATAGTAACCAAAAAAAAAAATCTCAACCCAAAAGAAAAAATCTAAACCCAAAAGAAAAAATCTCTTAACCAAAAAGAAAAAAACTCAACCCAAAAGAAAAAAATTCAACTCAAAAGAAAAAATCTCAACCCAAAAGAAAAAAATCTCAACCCAAAAGAAAAAAATCTTCAACCCAAAAAAAAATCCCAATATAAAAAGAAAAAATCCTTAACCCAAAAGAAAAAATCCTTAACCCAAAAGAAAAAATCCTTAACCCAAAAGAAAAAATCCTTAACCCAAAAGAAAAAATCCTTAACCCAAAAGAAAAAATCCTTAACCCAAAAGAAAAAATCCTTAACCCAAAAGAAAAAATCCTTAACCCAAAAGAAAAAATCCTTAACCCAAAAAAAAATTTTAACCTGAAAAAGAAAAAAAATCTAAAAGAAAAAACCCAAAAAAAAAAATCCTAACCCAAAAGAAAACTTGAACAAAAAAAAATCCTTAACCCAAAAAAGAAAATCTCAACCCAAAAGAAAAACTTAACCTAAAAAAGAAAAAATCCTTAACCCAAAAGAAAAATTTAACCTAAAAAAAAAAAATTTCAACCCAAAAGAAAAAAAATCCTATTAAAATTTTCTTAACCCAAAAGAAAAAATCTCAACCCAAAAGAAAAATCCTTAACCCAAAAAGAAAAAATCTCAACCCAAAAGAAAAAATCTCAATCCAAAAAAGAAAAAATCTCAACCCAAAAGAAAAAATCTCAATAAAAGAAAAATCTCAACCCAAAAGAAAAATCTTAACCAAAAAGAAAAATCTTAACTCAAAAAAGAAAAAACTTAACTCAAAAAAAAAAATCTTCAACCCAAAAGAAAAAAAAAAAAAAAAATTCAACCAAAAGAAAAAATCCTTAACCCAAAAGAAAAAATCCTTAACCCAAAAGAAAAAATCCTTAACCCAAAAGAAAAAATCAAACCAAAAAGAAAAATCCCAAAAAAAAAAAACCCCTTAACCCAAAAAGAAAAAATTTTAACTCAAAAGAAAAAATCTTAACCCAAAAGAAAAATCCTTAAAAAAAGAAAAAATTCAACCCAAAAAAAAAAAAAAAAAAACTCAACCCAAAAGAAAAATCTTAACCCAAAAGAAAAAAATCTTGGAAAAAAAAAAAAAAAATCTCAACCCAAAAAGAAAAAAAAAAACTCAACCCAAAAGAAAAATCTTAACCCAAAAAAAAAATCTCAACCAAAAAAAAAAAAAAGAAAAAATGTTTAAAAAAAAAGAAAAAATCTCAACCCAAAAGAAAAAATCTCAACCCAAAAGAAAAAAAAAAAAGAAAAAAAATCTTAAAAAAAAAAAAATCTTGGAAAAAAAAAAAAAAAAACTTGGAAAAAAAAGAAAAAAAAAACCCAACTTTTCTGTTAACCTAAAAAAAAAAAAAAAAAAAAAAAAAAAAAAAAAAAAAAAATTTTAACCTAAAAAAAAAATCTCAACCCAAAAGAAAAAATCCTCAACCCAAAAAAAAAAAAAATCAAAAGAAAACCCAAAAGAAAAAATCCTCAACTCCAAAAGAAAAGAAAAAAAAAAAGAAAAAACCCAAAAGAAAAAAATCTCAAAAAAAAAGAAAAATCTATCGTCAAAAGAAAAAAAATCTCAACCCAAAAAAAAAAAAATCTCAAAAAAAAAAAGAAAAATCTCAACCCAAAAGAAAAAATCTCAACCCAAAAAAAAAAATCCATCCCAAAAAAAAAGAAAAAAAATTCAACCCAAAAAAGAAAAAAATTCAACTCAAAAAAAAAATTTGTAAAAAAAAAAAAAAACCCAAAAGAAAATTATCAACCCAAAAAAAAAAAACCCAAAAAGAAAAATTTAACCCAAAAGAAAAAAAAACCAAAAAAAAAATCTTCAACCCAAAAGAAAAAATCTTAACCCAAAAAGAAAAAATCTTTAAAAACCCAAAAGAAAAAATCTTGAAAAAAAAAAAAACTTAACCCAAAAAGAAAAAATTTAACAGCAAAAAAAAAATCTTAACCCAAAAAAAAAAAATCTTGGAAAAAAAAAAAAAATCTTGTCTCAAAAAAAAAATCCAAAAAAAAAATCCTCAACCCAAAAGAAAAAATCTCAAAAAAAAAAAAAAAGAAAAAAAAAGAAAAAATGTTTAAAAAGAAAAAAATTTTAACCCAAAAAAAAAAAAAAAAAAAGAAAAATCTCAACCCAAAAAAAAAAAAAATTTTTTTTAGTTAACCCAAAAGAAAAAAATGGGAAAAAAAAAAAAAAAATTTTCCAAAAGAAAAAAATCAAAAAAAGAAAAATCTCAACCCAAAAGTGTTTCATAACCAAAAGAAAAAACTCAACCCAAAAGAAAAAATTTAACCCAAAAGAAAAAATTAACCCAAAAGATCCGCTTCAACCCAAAAGAAAAAAAAATCCAGTTGTTTTCAAAAGAAAAAATCTCAACCCAAAAAGAAAAATTCTTGAACCCAAAAAGAAAAAAATCTCAACTCCAAAAGAAAAAATCTTAACCCAGGTCAAAAAAATTCAACCCAAAAAAAAAAATCATCAACCCAAAAGAAAATCCTTAAACCAAAAAGAAAAATGTCATTAAAAAAAAAAAATCTCAACCCAAAAGAAAAACTCAATCCAAATCAAAAAAATCTCAAGGCCAAAAAAAAAATCTCAACCCAAAAGAAAAAATCTAAACCCAAAAAAAAAATTTTGTCCAAAAGAAAAAATCCTTAACCCAAAAATGAAAATCCTTAAGTCAAAAAAAAGAAAAAACCTTAACCCAAAAGAAAAAAATCCTTAACTCAATTCCAAAAAGAAAATCTTTATCAAAAGAAAAAACTCAAAAAGAAAAATCTCAACCCAAAAGAAAAAAATCTCATTAAAAAAAGAAAAATCTGTAACCCAAAAAAGACAAAAAATCTTTAACCCAAAAGAAAAAATTTTAACCCATAAAAAAAAAATCCTTAAAGGAAAAAAAGAAAAAATCTTAACCCAAAAGAAAAAATTTTTTCCAAAAGTTTAAAAATGTCAATTCAAAAGAAAAAATCCTTAACCCAAAAGAAAAAAATCCAAAAAAAATTGTAACCCAAAAGAAAAAATCATTTTGATAAGTTTAATGTCAAAAAGAAAAAATTCAGAAGTCAAAAAAAAAAATCCTTAACCCAAAAAGAAAAAATCTCAACCCAAAAGAAAAAATCCCAACCCAAAAAGAAAAATCCTTAACCCAAAAGAAAAAAAAAAAAAAGAAAAAATCACTCAACCCAAAAAAAAAATTAACCCAAAAGAAAAATCCTTAATTTTTTAAAAAAAATCCTTTTTGAAAAAAAGAAAAAAATGTTTAACCCAAAAGAAAAAAAATCTTAACCCAAAAAGAAAAATCCTTAACCCAAAATTAAAAAAATCCTTAACCCAAAAAAACGAAAAAATCTTTCAACCCAAAAGAAAAAATCCTCAACCCAAATAAAAAAAATTAACCCAAAAAAAAACTAAATTTAAAAAAAAAATCTTAAAAACAAAATAACCAATAAAAAAAAAACCTTTTCAAAATGGTGCGTCTTTCACTTGTGAAATCCTCTTTTCTCACCTCGAATAAAAAGATAATGAAAAGCATGTGACAAAATCTCAGTGTAAAAGGACACAAAAGATAAACTTTCGGTTATGCAGAATAAATCCGTTTACCATAAATTCGTCAATGCAAATTTTGTTTTCTTAGAAAAAGAGAAACAAAAGAAAGTAAGAAACGGTGTCTCCTGGATGAAAAAGATTTTTTTTTTAAAGGGCCCCATGTTACCCGCTTTGAAATCACCAATTCAGCAGGGCAGCTGAGATGAGTTTCATTAAATTTGAACGCAAATTAAAATCCTTGCAATAAATTATTAAAAGAAAAGGAAAAGATTTCCTGGTAACTTCACATTTGTAATGAGTAAAAAATGAAGAACAGACACAAATTAAGTGAAATATTCCCTTTGATCTGGCACAATTTATTTTCCCGGCCTCTTCAATGTTTTAGAACAATTCTACGATGTGCTATGTCTTCTGAATGTAGACAATCATTTCTTGACTTTTTTGTTATTTCTCCTAAACACTGTTCCACCATCCATTTACTCAAGCTATCTATGTTACGCGTTGTTTTCCTCCGTCCCTCTTGCCTTAAATCAGACCCGTGAGTATCGAAATTTCCAAGACCCCTTTCCTCATTTACGTGCCCTAGAAATTTTAACTGTTTCTTCCTGATGTTAAGTATAAGTTTCCTTTTTGCTTTCTTTTTTCTCAAAAGCATCGTCGCTGTTCATGTCCGGTCAGTGATACACTCAGTATCCTTCTGTAGAACCACATTTCTGTTGCTTCAAATCTCTTCTTCATCTTTGAAAAGATTTCCCCGCATTCACTGCCATATAGGATGACTGATATCACGTCACAGTTCAGTACTCTTTTCTTTGTTTCTAACGCAATTTTCCTGTTTTTTAATACTTTACTTAGCTTTTGGTAGGCATCTTTCGCTATTTCAATACACCTTCGGATTTCAGTGTTGCTCTTTTCGTCGTCTGTTAAAACACTTCCCAGATATTTAAAGTTTTGTACTTGTTTGATTTTGGTATCCCTAATGTGATCCTTTTGCTCCTATCCTAAAATTTATTCTTCGAACCATAAGAACGTTACTCGATGTTTTCCCTCTGTTCTTTTTCCTTTCTTTTAGTCATTTCACCTGAAGCAAGGCGGGAATGTCACAAGTACACAGGGTAGTGAAAGTCAGACAAAAGACTGGTTATAGGTGGGATGGGGAAAGGACAAAAGATGAACAGGATTCAAGGAGATGACGATTGACGTTGAATTTAAATGCTTAGTGATTGCAGTTATCAGGGAAGCAAACAAACGGAGGGGAATTCCACGAGTGGGAAGTGCGAGAAAAGAAACTGTTAGAAGTAGAAGTGGCGGCTGCATTTAACTATATCAGCAGTAAATGGGTGGGACCTAAATGCCAATCTAGTAGCACGCTTAAATGCATGTATTTGGAGCACCAGGAAAAAAAAGCTCGTCTGAGCAGTTGCCATGAAAATATTTCTAGGAAAGACAGAGGCAAACCACGTCGCGTCGGTGGGAAAGTGATTGCAGTCGAGATGCCAAGTCAGGGTTGATTACATTACAGATCCTTCTTTGGATATTGTCAAGAACCTCAAGATAAATAGCAGGGGCACCAGATCAGCTATGGCAGCAGTATTTAATCTACGGGTGAATCATAGATTTGTAAATGTACAAGACAGACGTCAAAGATTTTCATGTCCAACACAGTGACCCAAATTTCTTAGCCTTCAATAAGTCCTGTAAGTGTCAAATTTTCAGTTATTGTGATTATTCATTTTCAAAAAAAAAAAAAAATTAAAATAATTCAATTTATACTAATGGTTTGTATTTATTTATTTGTGATGATCTACATCACGCAAACACATACATACTTACACAAATACAAATTATACAACGACGAGCATTCATTGGATAATAAATCAACACTACCTTGTAATAGACAATTTACAAATCGCAGCTATTTTCATGTAATCGCTCTATTTTCATGTAGTCGATTTTGTGCACTTTGGGGAGAAACGGATCCCAGAAGCTTTCTGGAGTCTCCCCATAACTCGCTCGCTGATTGGTCAATGCCAACCAATCAGACTGTCTGCACGTGAAGAACAATTCTTCCCGCGCAGCCATTCGGAGCCGACGATCACATATATAAGCAAGAAATATTTCAGCTGCCAAACGAATCCACGACAGTTGAAACCATGCGCCAGTCTTCTCACTCACACCACCACTCACATGCTGAATATTCCTTACACTCACATAATCTTTTCCTTGCACAGCAAAACTGTTGAAAACATTTATTACCAGAAACTATCACAAACTTTCTTTCTTTCAGTGAACTTTGGAATACAAATAATAGTTACAGGGAGACAACTCTTGTTTTACTCAATGCATGCCTTTCTTTCACATCCTTGTTTGTACATCTTGTTAAATACAAATTTTATGTGTAATGATGCCTTATCCTTTCTTCACCTCAGTTTAGTTTCTTAATCTCAGTTAAATTAATGTGGTGAAATCCGCCACATATTCATCGCATTTGCAATTGCGTCAGTTTCAGGTTCTTTTGAGGCCGCAGTTATAGTGACATGGAGCAAACTTTCCTTTTGAAAATCTTGCAACAAATACTGTAAACACAGCGTTTCGTGTATCATTATTCATTATGGATTCTGTCACAAGGAAAGCACCTAAATTCGAAGAAAGCGACGTATTAACGCGATGATCTGGCTAATTCTGTGCGCAGCTAATGTCGCTAAGTGTCTTTCTTATAAGATCGGTTTCCCTAAAACAAAGGCCAAATAGATGTTCTTGCTTAATTTCATTTTAAAACATTTCATTGGGCGAAATTCTTGTTATTTGAATGTGTTTTGATCTTGAGATGATTTCTGTCAAAGGTCTTTCTTGCTTTTTAATTTCCAATTTGTTAAAAGTCATCAAAGGAGAAACTGTTAATATATATATATATATATATATATATATATATATATATCGGAGAGAGAGAGAGAGAGAGAGAGAGAGAAATGAAAAAAGGAAAACTAAAAACAGCCGCGCCTAAAATGTATAGACAATAAAAAAAGTTCCCAATACAAAATTCAAAATCGAATATGTAGTAAAAGGCTAAAAAGCCAACCAACCTCGCAATACGGGTTTAGACAGTAAGGTCTCCTCGGGCAAGTGGAAGGTTGACGGTCGAAACCCTGGTTACGAGGTTGGTTGGCACTTTAGCCTTTTATCCGCTACATTGGTTTCAAACTTACGGTATCCTCAGGCATTTTTATCAGAAAAAAAAAAAAAAAATCATAACACAATGTTTAATTTTTAATTATATATATATATATATATATATATATATATATATATATATGTTTACAGAATTAATAGGTTTATTTTAATCCATTTTTATCACTTCAAATGTTACTATTAGTGAATACTCGTATTTGAAATAGACGTTCCATTTTTTATTTTTTTATTTTAAACTGTTCGTGTCATGTCTATCGGCCTGCGTAATAAAGAAAACGTTCTTTCAGGCAATGTAATGGGTTAATTTATTATTATTATCATCATTATTATTAATCGAATAAGGAAGAAAAGGTTCCTTTCGCTCAAAATTAGTAAGTTGATTTTGAAAAAGGCATGAAACCATAAATGTTTATACAGTTCCTCAAAATCCAGTGGGTGGTGCCAAATGTTTGTCCAATGTGTGTGTGTGTGTGTGTGTGTGTGTGTGTGTGTGTGTGTGTGTGTGTGTGTGTGTGTGAACTTTACAGGCGTGCATATATTTAGATACTAATTTATGTATTGCGTTTATACAAGCTCAATTCACCTCTGTATAAACAGAGTTTTATTTATCCATGTGTAGATGGGAGAAGAGCGATTGTGGGCGAATGTAACGATAAGACAAGGGTCTGTCTTGTATTCCCCCCCCCGCCTTTATTCTCCTTCTTCCATCTTTCTTTTTTCTTACTCTCCCCTACTTCCTGTCCTTTTGTCAATTCTTGTCCTCTTCCTCTCTTCTTCTTCTTCTTCTTCTTCTTGCTGCTGCTGCTGCTGCTTCCACTTTGGATTCCTTTCTTACACTGCTTCTTCTACTTCACTTACTCTCTGTGCATTTCTCCTTTTTTCATCACTTTTTACCCAAATGTTTTTTCTTTCTTTTTCTTCTTTTCCCCCTCTTGCTGTGATCCGTTCTTTATCTTCTATCTTCTTTTTCTTCTCGTCTTTTCCATTTTCTTCTTCTTCTTCTTCTTCTTCTTCTTCTTCCCATCTTTTCCATTTTCTTCTTCTTCTTCTTCTTTCCGTCTTTTCCATCTTCTTCTTCTTCTTCTTCTTCCCGTCTTTTCCATCTTCTTCTTCTTCCTGACATCTTTTCCATCTTCTTCTTCTTCTTCTTCTTCTTCCTGACGTCTTTTCATCTTCTTCTTCTTCTTCTTCTTCTTCTTCTTCTTCCTGACGTCTTTTCCATCTTCTTCTTCTTCTTCTTCTTCTTCTTCTTCTTCTTCATCTTCTTCTTCTTCTTCTTCTTCTTCTTGACGTCTTTTCCATCTTCTTCTTCTTCTTTTCTTCTTCTTCTTCTTCTTCTTCTTCTTCTTCTTCTTCAGCAGCAGTGTATGGTGGGGATAATGAACGAGTCTCAAAAAGCAGGTATCATGTTTGCAATAACGCCCCGAACCCTAACCCTATTTGCATAATCAAAAGTGCCGCATTCTCTCATCCTCGTCAGCTTTCATGTTATTCTCTGTGACCCTGACGAGTCGTTAGGTTCACTGTCGACGCTTGACCCCAGCGATTGGGTACGATTTAAGTTCGCGGTCAGAGAGACGCGGACCGGCCCAGACATTAACAAAACACATTCTTGCTTCGTCGGACAGACACGTAAGGAAAAAAAAAAACCGTGAAAGATGGGCGGTAGCGACACACGTGCAAATATCTTCTTGTGTATATGAGCACCAGGAGCAAATTGGTCGAGCAGGCTTTTCTTTGAGAGTTCGATTCTTACAAGACATACAACTATTAAAGAAGACTTGTTGGCTGAGATAGTTGGGTATTACCATACTTGTGCCATTCGTCGGTATTTGAGTTTCCCATTTTTAGAAACCAATTTGAGCTTTCCGATTTTATAAGCTTGCTTTTCAAGGCCAAGTATATCATTTCATTTGCATTATTGATATCGTACAATACCACGCCAAATAAGCAGCCTTGTGACAAAAAAAAAAAGTAAAAAAAAATGTTTTTCATTCTCTTTCACTCTCAGTAGCCCCTTGTATCATAGTGGCATTCTCGCCTTGTTTGGGATGAACTGATTAATATATATACAGTGTAACCCGGATATAAGAGAGTTGGCGTTACCGGAGAAGTCTCTTATATCCGGGTTTCTCTTATATCCGGGTTTGGTCTATTTTATATACATTAACACAGGCTCTAATTTGGGACCAGAGAAAATCCCTCTTATATCCGGGTTTCTCTTATATCCGGGTCTCTTATATCCGGGTTACCTATATATATATATATATATATATATATTGTGATGTCAACGAACACTCTTTTGACACTTTAGTAATGCCAACGAATACTTGTTGTCACTTTCGTAAGGCTGCAACCTTTTTCCACCCGAAAAGATATGAAAGAAGGAAGGAAGTTGCAAGTCTATCGCTATTTCTATGGTAAATGATCAGATGAGCCTTAATCTTCATTCAGGGATTAAGTGCCTTGACGAAGTAGTGTTGCCCTAGGTCAAGAGGGTGGCTGCTATGTCTGGCAACATGTCTCTGCACCATACCGCCACACAAGTAGCCCGTCATGGGTGTCAGACAATTCCTGCGACCACATCTCCCTTTACATCTAGCCACCTGATTCCCCCGACTGCACCCCCCTTGATTATTATGATTGGGGCAAGGATGAACTGAAAGCAAGGATCATGGCAGCATTCACCATCTTAAACAAGGAGACTGTCCAGTTGCAGGAGATTCCGAAGTAGTCTGGAGGCCGTGGTTGAAGTCAACGGTGATTTTATTGAATAAATTTACTCTTTAGTATTTTAAGATATTTTTTGTGTAATATAACTGTTAAAATGAAATGTGAGCGTTATTTTCTTTTTTTGCATAATTTAGACGACATATTTTAAATATATATATCATATATCATGTATTATCATGTGTGTATGCATGCATTATCTATAAAGATACCGTCTATGTATAGATCATTCCAATGGGTATTGAATACAAGAGACAGAGAAGTACTTACGCCATTCCAATTTGACATTAAAATTCTTCGCCCTTTTATACCCACATACCCCCATCTTGTTATACGCATGACCCCATAGGTTTTCTTTGCGTAACTTCTAAGGGTGGAAAAACCTTTTAGCAAAGGGAAAGCGCACTGATCAGGTGATAGCCATATCTAAACCGACTAAAAGCCAGTGATGGTGTGATATTTAGACGTTAATAATATCACCCCACCCGTTAAGCATGCTGGGACTTTTTGTTCGAGCCAATAGGAAGAAAGAAACAATTAGATGAAGAAAAATAAAAAGAAACGAAAGAAGGAATAATAATAATAATAAAAAAAGAAATGGCGACGTCATTTGGGCAAATGGGAAAGAAAAGAGAGAAAAAAAGCCGATTAACTGGAATATGGACGAAGGAAGGAAGGAAGGAAGGAAGGAAGGAAGGAAGGAAGGAAATGAATAGAGAGAAAGATGATATGTGAAAGAAAGTAAAATAAAAACGCAGTGAAAAGAAATAATATGAAATCCTTCAACAAAAAAAAAAGATATTGTTGAAATAGGAATGATGGGGGAAGGAGTAGATTTGGGAAAAGGAGGAAGAGGACGTGATAGAAGCAGAGAAGAAAGAAAAAGAAAGAAGTTGCAACGTCAGGAAAAGGAGAAGATGAAGAAAAAGAAGAAGAAAAATACAGCAGTAGACGGGGGAGGAGGAAGAGGACAAGAAACAGTGATAAAAAGAAAATAATAATAATATCAATAATAATAATAATAATAATTTCTTTCCCTTTTTCTTATAACCAAGGAACTATAGAAATAATTACATAATGGGTTATTATCTATGCTAATGATTATATTTGTATTCCTTGTAAACGAATTTAAAGCGTCTTACATTTAAATGTCTTTTTCCTGTTTAACAAAAAGTGAAATGGCCTTTGGTACATTCTAAGAAAAAGTTACAAGTTGTTTATCTAATTCATTATATCAGGAGTTGAATGCATCAAACAAATATCTTAATATTTTCATTTACTTACCTGATTATTACGTATCTTAGTTTATTAGTCACAAAAAAGATGATGGGATTATTTACATATAAACTATTGTTCAAAATTAAAGAACAAAATTGTTTGTTTTCCGTGTTTTAAAATAACATTTTTACAAATTATGATAAAGTTATGGTAACAATTCTTGAAACCTGTCCAACACGATGCTAAATTTTGATAAAAAAAGACAACTTTAAAAAAGCAACAAAAGATTGTTTATTATAATTACTAATTTAGTATCGAAACTAGAGAACAAAATTATGAATTCATTTTTTTTTTTAAACTTAACTTAAAAAAAATTGACATCAAATTTAAAAAAGGAAGTTCAAATTCAAATTGAGAAAATGCCGAATTTCTAAATCTATTCGTGGTATACTGGGGCGTTGGGAAGGTTGTAGTGAAATGCCGGTTTTTTTTTAATCATTTCACACCAAGCAAGATGATAAAGCCACTCAGACGTGGAGGTGGGAGTGGTTATTGTGTGTTAGAGGATATGAGAAAAAGAAAACATTATTAAGCAGAGAGAACAATAAAGATACAAGAAGAACAGAAAATAACGATTGACATTATATTTAAATTTGTGAAAATCAATGGTGGCTGGAAAGCAAGAAATCGGAAGTGATGTCCACATGCAAAAAATGCGAGAGAAGAAACTCTTAGCATAGAACTTACGGTTACATCTAGACATTTAAACTGTAAAATGATGAACACTTTCCGCCATTCTAGTACTGCGCTTAAATTCATAAAGTCTAGGTACCATAGATGAAAATTCATCAGAACAATTACCATGAAAATATTTATAGAAAAGTGACAAGGAATCTATGTTACGGTGGTGGGAAAATGACTGACGCCCAGATGCCAGGTCAGGATTAATAACATTGCAGATTCTTTGTATTTTATCAGTAATCTCTAAATATGTAGTAGAAGCACCAGATGTGCCAGCAATATCCAATGCATTGACGAGCGGTGGGCTTATAAATATGTAAGATTCAGACAAAAAAAAATGTCTAGCACAACACACAGGAGCAGCATTTTTAGCAGCTCTTACAGTTGATTTAATAATATCTTTCCGCTTCATGTTAGCAAAAAAGGTTAGAAAGGAGACACTTACCTGAAGGTTAGTAGCAGCCATGAAGGCTGATAGAAGACTAAGAAATGGCCGAAACTCTGATGGGTTTACCACCAGCAGGAGTTGCTCAGACACATTAGAGATTATGCTACTACGGAGAAGCAATCGATGATGCGATGTCTACAATTATCCCCAAAACTGTGCATGGAAACGTACAGCTGTGTACAGAAATATTTTGCCCCAACCTGGGCGCAACAAGATCTTCAAATGTGGAACAATGTTAACAATCATACGTCTCTGGTTATAACATTCGTTCATTCGTTTTTTGTGGGTTTTTTTATTTTTTTGCCCTTCCTTCCTTCCTTCCTTCCTTCCTTCCTTCCTTCCCTTCCTTCCCTTTCTTCCTTTTCCTTTCCTTTCCTTCCTTCCTTCCTTTCCTTCTTTCCTTCCTCCTTCCTTCCTTCCTTGCATCCTTTCCTCCCTTCCTTCCTTCCTTCCTTCCTTCCTTCCTTCCTTCCTTCCTTCTTTCCTTATGGGTCCTACGTGATACGCATTTGGGCGATCGTGTCTCGATTCATTATTGATTTGGCAGAAGAGTTCCCGCAAAAGGCTACCGTTACTTTCTGCTGTAAACTGGTTGCCAGTCAAGTCTATAAGACCTGCTATTTAACCCATAGATGAGGGTGAAGAAAGTCTATTTGAGTGTAAGTGAATGTAACGAACACGACTAGAATTCTAACTCCGTTCCTCGACTTCACATTCCGAGTCGTTATCCGTCACAACAAGCGTTCATCCAAGCATACAGCACCTGTTTGGTACGCCCATCCATCTATGTACTAACCAGGTTCAACGATGCATAACTTTCGCGGTAACAACATTTTAATTTAAAATTCAGCTTTTGTCAATTTGAAATTCAGTTGATTGTTTGTTTTTTTTATTTGAAGTTGAGATATTTAATTACCGTATATACTGGTGTACAAGGCAATTGGGCGTATAAGACGACACCCAAAATTTCCAAGTTAAAATGTAGGGTTCGGGCTATATTCGTCGTACAAGACGACCCATCACCCAAATCGAATTTAAATACTGAATTTATTTAATAAATTCAGTAAGCCTACACATTCTTTTCACTCAAATTCTAATAAAGAAATGGTGGGAAGATATTGTCAATTAACTAGCACAATCTACAATAACTCACAAGTGGGCCCTGCGTTTTAGGTAGGCTATTACGGTAGCCTGAATGACTTTTCCCCGCTAAACAATCCACACGTTCCACTGTACTCGAATGCGATCTTTAAACGACTTGTTGATATACACACATCTCCCATACTAACAAGTTACCATAAACCACAGGATTTAAGGTTCACATTTTATACTTGGAGTATAAGACGTCCTCTTATATATATATATATATATATATATATATATTGGTGGGGGGAAGGTTAAAAAGTCGACTTGTATGCCGACATATATGGTAGAGGTTGTTACTGTATTTAAAATTATTAGTTTAATAATTACTGTATTAGTAATTAATTACTGTTTTTAATTTGAGGGTAAAAACCTGCACCGATATACACTCAAATAATGAGGTTATTAAGTTCAATTACTAATAAAGATTTATTAATAAGATATGTACAATCAATGGTTTTAATTTATTAATTCCGTATAAGACGACACTGTGTTGATGGCGGAAAACTGTAAAATCTTCTACAGGAGGTAGCAAGGGAAAGCAAGAAGAAAGGATGAACAACCGACAAAAATGGAAAGTCGTCAGCATGTGTGATAGTGAAAGGTAAGTGCTTCGACTTGGAGAAGACAACGATATGAGAGTAGCAGACGACTGAAGGTTGGACACAGAGATCCAAGAGCGTATTGGAACCACTGCTTTGGACTTTGTTTGAGTCATGCCTTAATCTCGACATTGTCAGCTTCAAAGAATTGTTTCGCCGTTTTTGCTGCCTGACAAACTTTATCCTTTTGTTTAAAGATGGACCAACAGTTAGTCATGTTCTCAAAGAAGATAAACATGTTCAGTAATTGTCTTATACACTATAGCATATATTTTACCTTTAACTCAATGTCACCAGCACAAATGGCATTCCTGTCGCCGAGACTAATAAGCTACGACCTGTCATTTTTCTACACATTTAGTAAGTAATCTCTCTCATTTACGTCATCTGACCTACGGCTTACCATTATAGCAAGTCAAATTCAATTTACTTTCATCGTTGAAAAACACCGCTGCTTAAATTTCCTCGGTCAGGCCATGCTCGTTTGCAAAAGCTAGTCTACTTTTGAATTTCTTCTTCTTTATGTACCGCGTGCCTTCGGGACGTAGGCGCTCCACAATTTTCTGTCCTTTGTAAACTTAATAAACTTTCTCTTTACATTATTTCTCCTAAACCCTGTTCCACCAGTCATTTACACAAGCTCATCAAATATGTTACGTACTACTTTCTCCTGATCCTAATAACCTTAATCTGCCTTGTGAGTACCAGATTTTCCAAGCCCTCTTTCCTCATTATGTGCCCCAGAAAGTTCAACTCTCTTTCTGATGTTATGTATAAGTTTCCTTTTCCTTTCTATTTTCTCTAAAACTTCGTCGTTTCTCACATGTTTTGTCTATCGTATCCTCAGCATCCTTCTGTAGAACCACGTTTCTGTTCTTTCAAGTCTCTTCTTCATCTTTGAGGAAAATGTCCAACATTGATTCTCTATAGGAGGATTGTGTTTGTTCTCGTTTCACTGTTCATTAAGGATATCGTGTAGTTTTTATTTTATTTAGCCTTGTTCAATTATTTTCCGCCCATTTTCACTGGGTGTATCTACACAGTTCCCGACACAGGGATTGAGCTCACAACTACCATGCCACTAAATTCACAAACCAACGCTTTACCCCCCGAGGTACATTGCTCGTGTAAACTTAGAGATTTAAACCTTCGGCTGCTGCTGCTGGCTGCCATGTTTTGTCTCCTGCTGTCCATGTTATTTCTGTTCCTGCTGCTGCTTGAAGATTTGCTGTCATTTGTCTTTCCTTCTTTATTAGCGGCTCCCATATAAGGGGCCCACATAGCCTAACATATACGCTGATTCTTTGAAACGTCTAACTCTTTAGTGTTCTTCCCTGTTCAGTATTTTCATTTCATTCCACAAGAGCTGATAACCAAACTTTTCCCTCCATACATGATAAGCCATGCTCGATTTCATCTTCACCTCTTACAACAGCTTTTCGATGTTCCTCCAGCCTTACTTTCAGGGGGCGGCGTTTCTCCTCTATATTCTCTGCCACAACTGCCACATTTTTTAGTCATATTCTAACCCGTATTAGGCTTTACTCGGCAGAGATTTCTTCGTAGAGTGGAAATATTTCTGAATATTGTCCTGGTGGTGTATGGGTCGCAGATCTTCTGAATCTTTTCCGATTAGCCCTTGACGTAAGTAAACATTGGCTGTGTTTATACTTGAGACAATAGGTAAACATTGTTCGAAATTATACATGAGTCTATAAGTAAACTTTCGTAGGTTTTATACTTGAGAAGATAGGTAATTATTTCGCAGTGACGTAGTCGGTGTATTATTAACCGCGTAATGAAAACTGCCCTGAATCTGTGTTGAATAAATCAGATTTTGTTCGAATGTACACAAAATTTGGACACTGAAAGGTGAAACATTTGAAATTAAGGAATAGAGTATCTTTCTCGGATGTTTTTAATACGTTTATAGCGCTACGACTCGCAAGGGCCTTGTGGTACGTTGCCCCTTAGCTTTGATACACATGTGTGTCCGTTCCACTGATAGTTTGGTATTGATATTTCTCTGAATAATAATAATAATAAGATTTTGCAAATGTTTTCATTCTTTACCTTGATTTTTTTAGGTCTGGTATTTAGTTTTGTTCAATATTAGAAGCTAGCTCTCATCATTTTGCCCATGAAATTATTAGTTATAGCTGTAAGTTCTATTCTAATAGTTTCTTCTCTCGCACTTCTTACCTGTGGAACTTTCACCCGGCTTCTTGCTTTCCTGTCAACTACGATCTTCAAAAATTTAAATGCAATTTCGATTGTCAGCGTCTGTCTCCTTCAATCCTGACCTTTTAATGTCTCTCTCGTTCTTTCTTCCCCTCTCTCTGTCCTCTTTTTTTCTCTCTCTCTCTTTCTCTCTTTCTCTCTCTCTCTCTCTTTCTCTCTCTCTCTTTTTCTCACTCTCTTTCTCTCGCGCGCCTCAAAGCTTACTCAGTTTTTCACAATCAGTTAATTCATTGCGTCTCAGTGACTTTATCGCCTTGCTCTTGACGAATTAAAACCCTACCAAGATATACAAATTCATTACACAATAACGTCATTTTTTGTAGTTTTTTAAATTTTATTTTATTTAATAAACTAAGGCAAACTATTTTTATTTAGTCATGTACAATGGTAACACTATCAAAAACAAAGATGACATTATTGTAAGGCTTCGAATATCAAACGTAGTAATGAATGTGTTTTCTTTTTCACATCGTACTCTGTCGTCATGTGTTCAAAATCAGTCCAGTACACACACCTGCTTTTAAATTAGGGATACTAACTTTATTTTCGTTTTCATGCGCCAACTTAAGTCACTACCTGTCGGAATATAAAGTTGCTGGCCACTGAAGCCAAGGAAAACACATTCGCTATTAACCCTCTTGTGTTATTTGTCGATGATAGCGATCAGTTTTAAACATTCTTTTTTTTTTTTTACAGGGGTTTAGTCAGAAGATTGCAGGTAAATAATACGCAGGTGAAAACGCCGCGCACCTGTACTAATAACGAAATACGAAAATTTAAAAAATAAAATACCTAACAGCAGATTGTAAATGCGATACTTAAATCCAAATACGACTTGGATTAACGGAAGATGCATTCGAAAATCTAATCAATTTTTTTTTGTTTTTTTGGTTGATTGGTTGATTTATTTTTTTACGGTTTATCGACCTGCTAATCAGAGTAATAAGAAAAGAGTAAAATGGATATTGAATATTGCATAACAGTTCATTACTTTCTTTGATTCTAATAACATTTTCCTGTTTATATTATTTGGACTGTTGTCCTCATCTACATTACCACATTCACAACGTTGTACTGCCCGGCCTTCTTCAGGTGAGTGGAATTTCGAATCCAAAGCTTTATTTCGTCCACCGGGGTAGACTGTTCTAGTTCTACGTTCATTTCGAAATTTCAATCACCTGAAGAAGGCCGAAGTGTACAACAGCCGAAACGTTGTGAATATGGCAATGAAGATGAGGATAACAGTCCGAATAATGTAAATAATGTAAATCATCATAATCCCTCATCTCAGACATATAGATAGACATTTTCCTATCTCTTAATTCTTTGCTTCATTTCTGAAAGGCATTTTTCATTAATCTGATACATCTTCGAGTGCTGAATTGCTGTGTGATATAAATCCTCTTGCATGGCAGTGAATGCCGGACGATCTCATCACAGATAACAGGAGGCAACAGAAATATTTTTTGTTTCTTCACTCATTTTTTACGGCTTATCAACCCTTTTCAGGTTATTTAGAGCCAGGATTTTTTTTTTAAATTGTAAGAATTTTTTAAAAATAATGATTAATGATACAAGTCTTACTAATTAACCCATACCTGGGGTAAGAACAGATGGATTCATGCCCTTTCCAATGATATTTCACGTAAGTGAATATAACGAACCCAACGGCCATTTGTGCAAGACTGAATGCAGTTGCCTCGGCCGAAATTTTACTTTGGCCACCAATCCCAGTTTCCATGGTGCTAACCGCTACTCTATGCGCATGCGAATTAACGAATAATCTTCTTCAATATGCCATTTATCTTCAGGACGTTAGCGATCATGGCTCTCTACAATTCCCTGTCTTTTTTTAGCTCTTAGTTGATATATTTTTTCGCTATTCTCCCAATCCCAGCCACTCACACAAACTCCTTAAGTAGATCATTCGCTGCTTTCCTCCCTTCCCCTTGCCTCTAACATGTCCTCTGAGTGTCAGTTTTTCTAAGCTTTCTTTCCTGATTATGCGTCCTAGAAATTTCATCTGTGTCGTTCGGATGCTTTGTATAAGTGTCCTTTTTGTTTCAATTTTCTCTAAAAAATCCTCACAGCTATAGGTTAATTAGTAAGAGTTGTATTACTAAATCATTTTTATCTCCAAAAACAATTCTTAAAATCTAAAAATATTTCCTGGATTTAAGTAACATGCAAAAGGTTGATAAGCCGTAAAAATTGGTTGATAATCAATCACATTCAGGAAAATAGACTGCTCAAGTCCACTGACTGTTATCGCTTTTTCTAGTATCGAGGCGATTTTGCTTCCAAACCTTTTTGTTTAAACATGTGCGGAAAGTCAGCATCGTGATTATATCTTTAGTTTCCTTTCCAGTTAGATGTGCTTAGTATTGTTGCTGCTGATGCTCTTGGAAGCCATCAAGTGATATAGGTTTTGACATTTGGTAAAGTCCGTTTATGGTTATGTAACGCCAGTCTGTAAGAGGTGATGAACGAACTGTTCTCTTAACCTAAAGGATTCATAAGCCATTTTAAATCATTGATCTGCGAAAAAGATTGTACACAGATGATAGTTAATATATTTCCTTAAGATTTGGATGTCATGCATGACATCCACATGAGAGTCTCGATCTGACGATGCTATTTAAGAACACAAATCAAGTTACCTAATTAATATTTGGGTTTTGTAACATCTTGCGGCATTGAGCAAAACTACCTCGAGTGCCATCTATCCTGGGTTCAATTTCTTTATCTCCCATATTCAATTTGTTATAATTGATCCACACACGTAGCTATTTGAAGTGTTTAGAATTTATTCATTCTAGATACTGAATTTTTACGATGGATTCAAGTTATATACCATCACCACTCTCATTCCAATTCCAGACCATAATTTCTGTTTTCGGGCAAGAATGTTGATTTCTTTTGTTCATGATTATTTTCGCATCAACTGTGAACAGTCCATTCGCAATAAAGGATGCCGTAGAAATAACACACACATTATAAACTGTTACATGTGTGGTGACAGTAAACTTAAACAAGTGGTAATGATATTTTCATTTAGCTAATGTCTTTCCTTTTTTTTTCAGATACTATCAGTTTCCATCAAGGCTTAGACCGATTTACACCGTGCGTTTGCTTCTGAAATGTTCTTTTAAGACTGGTGAATCTGTAATTGCAGCACAGAGACGTTTTCGTGCTCATTTCATGTTACTTCGGAATGATACTGTTCCGGGTGGGATAGCAATATTGTTATGGGTTAAAAATTTCAGGGTCTCAGGTTCTATGCTTAAAAGATAAACCACCTAGAAAACCTCAAAGCGCTCGAATTTCCGGGTGATGGAAAATTGATGGAAATTGTCTTCAATAGTATATGGCGAATAGAGGTCACCATTTAGAGGATGTCAATTGTAAAACCAAATGCATGAAAAAAAAACATTTCTTTAAACAACAGTGAATTTTTTTAATAGCAGTTTCCTTGGTCTTTTTGTCAACCTTTAAAATGTGGGAGGTATTTCTACCGCACCCTGTAAATCTGAAAATATTATGTAATTAATACATTATCCAATCAGAGCAAGCCTTAAAGGTCATATGCATAGCCCTATGGTAACTATTAAATCTGTCAAGTCTGATCTAATCATATTTGAGCCAATGTCGGTGCTGAGCAGTGCAAATATGGAAAAAAAAATTCATTGTAAATGGTAAAAAATAAGCATATTTAACAAACACGATATTTTAGCTATAATATCAACACATTGTTCATGGTTTTACTATAGAAATACATTGATTTTACTAAAGACTTACATTGATTTTATTATAGATTTTCATTGATTTTACTATAAAATAATTTGATTTTACTAAAGATTTACATTGGTTTTACTATAGAAATACATTGATTTTAGTATAGAAATACATTGATAATCACAAAGAAATTGACACAATTGGCTTCATATACATATATTGTAAATGTATTCCAAATGATTTTACTATAGAAATACATTAGAATTCATAAAGAAAGGCATTGTCAATGGTCAGTAACTGAGGCAAGCGTTATTGATAAAATGAAGCCTTTATACTTTTAGGCTTTGAAAAAACATATTTCGTCTTTTCCTTGTGTTGTAGTTTTCACTTGAAATCTTTTTTCATTCAGCCTTTTTCACTGCTATTCCATTTCAAATTCTGTTACTTTATTTCTTCCCTGAGTCACATTATATTTAATAGATAATGTTTATCAGTTTTTTTTTCAAACATGAGCTGACTCACAATGAAGAAGAAAAACAAGAAAAAGAAAAAGAAGAGGAGGAAGAAGAGAAAGAAGAGAAGGATAAGAAAAAGAAAAAAGAAGAAAAAGAAGAAGAAACAGTAAAAGAAGAAGATGAGGGGGAGGAAGAAGAAGAAGAGTAAGAAGAAGAAAAAGAGGAAGAAAAAGAAAAAGAAGAGGAGGAAGAAAAGGAGAGGAGGGGGAAGAAAACAAGTACAAATAAAGAAATGTAAAAAGAAAAGAAGAAAAGTAATCGAATAAGTTGAAAGCAATGAAGATAAGAAGAATAAAGAAATGAATGAAAAAGAGGAATAAAGACGAAGTTGAGAGATAATGTAGTACAGTAAAAGAAAGAAATGTGAAGATAAGAAAAAAGAAATGAAAGAAAAAGAGAAACAGGGAACCACGAGAAAGAGAGGCAAAGAAAAAGAAAAAGAATCTAGTGATGTAAATAGTGAAATGGAAGAAAAGGAACGAAAGAAGAAGAAGAAGTAGAAGAAGAAGAAGAAGAAGAAGAAGAAGAAGAAGAAGAAGAAGAAAGGAGGAAATAGAATAATGGAAATAAAATGATATCTTTGGAAAAACGGCTTCGGAAGGTCTTTTAAGAAATCGGAGAGGTTGCAAAAAAAGCAACAAAGACGACATCTATGAAAAAAACACAAGGAATAGGGGGAAAAAAACTTGAAAAGAATTACGAAAAACAAATAAACAGAGAATAAGATCTTTTCGAGGGAGAGATTAGTAGATAAAAATATGAAATGGCGGAAAGTGGGAAGGAAGACGGTTAGCAAAATTTGTATAAATAAAAGCACAAAAGTCCTTTGGCAATGTCTCCTTTGATCTACGTTCAAATGTTTCCTGTAAATGACGTAATGACTCGACACTTCCGGTGCATTTTTCAGCTGCACCAAGGCGGCAGCCATTTTGTGCTCTTTTGTGTGAGGAGTTAAAAAATAGCTCGGGCAAAAGAGGAGGACAGGATGCTGTCACATGACTTGTAAGCTTTGATAATTCGTGCCGATATACAAACACGAATATATGCATGAAATACAATGTGGGTGAATACGCGTATATATATATATATATATATATATATATATATATATATATATATATATATATATATGTGTGTGTGTGTGTGTGTGTGTGTGTGTGTGTGTTATTTGTACATATATATATATATATATATATATATATATATATATATAGTTGGATTGATACAGACAGCCATAAACACACACATAGACAATCACACGCATACACATACACCAAATATGTATATGCACAAACACACACATATATAAAAAACTTATATATATATATATATATATGCATTTGTTTGTATATATATATACAAAATATATATATATATACAAAAAATATATATATATATATATATATATATATATATATATACACACGCGTGCGAATTCACAAAACATGTATACGCGCAAATACACATACATGCATATACACAAACACACACATAGAAAAATAACACATGGACATGAACGAAACATGCACAAGCACACAAACAAATGCATACAGACAGAAGCCCTTACACATACACCAAACATGCCCGCATACATACACACACACGCGGGCAATCATATGCACGCACACGCACACACGCAAAGAAACACACATACATACAGCAACAATACACATATATATGAAGTCATCTGAATTTGCATCCAAGTAAGGCTGCTTATACAACAAGGTTTATATATCTCTCTCTCTCTCTCTCTCTCTCTCTCTATCTATCTATCTATCTATCTATATATATATATATATATATATATATATATATATATATATATTCCTGTACAGCTCGGATATATATATATATATATATATATATATATATATATATATATATATATATATATATATATATATATATTCAATTAGAGAAATATATATATACACAATTACACACACACACACACACACACACATATACACATATATATATATATATATATATATATATATATATATATATATTCCTGTTCTTTACAGGAGATTTTTATGAATTTTTATAGGCCATTATATACATGTCTCAAGTTATTAAATTGAATTGCTTTATACATACGTACATACATACATACATATATATATATATATATATATATATATATATATAGAGAGAGAGAGAGAGAGATAGATAGATAGATAGATAGATAGATAGATATAGGTTAGTGTGTGTGTGTGTGCGTTTCTCTCGAGGAACTACGTGTTTCACGCCACAAACTGTTTTCAAATTACAGTCTATATATCTACAAGCGCACTCGAACCTGACCCTCCCTCTTTGTAGGAGAGATCATCGACGGCGGACCAAACGTTGTTTCTCCGACAACAGGCGGGGCAAAAATTCAATCACTGACGGAGACCACGATTTCTTTATTTATATCTCGATTGTGATGACTGATAAACATAATACGCACTGTTAAAATTTCAAATACGAGTCGCCACTATATATATATATATATATATATATATATATATATATATATATGCAAACTACGTGAATACGAAGAAATGTGCACATATGCGCCATAAATTTGAAGACAGCATACTGTACTGCTTGGCATTCTAGTCAGAAGCTCTAATACGAATTTCAGATTGTTTGTGTGTTCATCTGAGGACATTTCAGAGGATTTGGAAAGAGCTGGATGAGTCTAATGCTGATTACGAATGTGCGGCAGATGAGAACACTCACTCTGTTTGTTCTGATGAGAAAAAACCGAATTTCTTGTTGAGGGCCTCAGATTCAACCCGAAGGCCTGCATCAAGGGCCTTAAGGAAGTAGTGCTACCCTGGGTCAAGTGAGTGTCTGCTGGAAAACCCTATGTCAGGCACCTGGACTTTGCACCATGCAACACAAGCAGTATAACCAAGTCATTGCAGTCAAACAATTTTTGAACCCCTTAGTATTTTAAGATATTTTTGTGTAATTTTGATAAAATAAGATGTCACTGTTATTTTCATTTTTGCGTAATTTAAACAAATTATCCTTCCCATCTCTACGTATATATATATATATATATATATATAGATAGATAGATAGATAGATAGATAGATAGATAGATAGATATTAATGCATGTTTTATTAAATAATATAGACAAGTTTTGTCTATTTATTTTAAGTAAGTTCCTTTCATATTGTCCGATAAGCTTAATAACATTATCATTGAAAGACGAAAGGAAAACACCATATTGTTACATGTTTTTTAATCCTATCTAAGCTTTCGGCTTACATAAGCCATTATCAAAGATGACAATTTCAATATATCAAACAACACATGGACGAAACAACACTGATAGTCCGCCCTTGCTGCATGGAAAATTTCAAAGCAACAACAAACTCGTGTATACGAGATGCGAAAGCGAAATCAAGTCGCAGCTCGTGACGTCACTCATGACCACGCGAGAGTGAAAACGAGAATTATTAAGTATGGGAAGCCGTTGGTATAAACCAATGGCTTCTGTTATAAATTATAGCCATTTAAGAATATTTGTGTAGATTTCATAGTTTTTTTTTGGGGGGGGTTGTTTTTTGTTCAGGTTAGGTTTCAACTGTTTTATATATATAGCTTCAAGAATTTTTAATTTTTGTTTATTGTTTTCATGTTTAAGTATAGTTGTGTTGTCAACAAAAATTTTCGGGATATATATATATATATATATATATATATATATATATATATATATATATATATAAACCGAGTGTAATAACAAAATTGTCTAATTATCAGATTAAACTTTGAACCGTTGCAGCTTAGAAATGATTAAAGATATCTTACTGGAATTCGCTGAGGTTTTTATAATACTATTAGACTCTACTTTGAACAATATGAATGTATTCAGCTCAGTTGAAATGATGATCCCTATTGCTGTTGTGACCTCCTGATCCAGTTTTCCTTTCTACTGTTTCCTTTTTTCAAATTTATTCACCTTCCTCTTGATGGTTCCTGAATGCACTTTGAAGATGAAAGCCAGAGTATAAATGTTGGCATCATTAATGAAGGCCTGAATGATCTTTTTCATCTCACCATTGGGAAGACATAGTGGGGCTGATACAAAATCATTTTAACCTTCTCTCTTTCTAGCTGAATAACTCAAAGGGTTTGTTAGTGATTCTTACGACATATGTTGTCAAATTTTGGTTTGTTTGTTTTTTTTTTTTTTTTTTGTACGACATATCAACATCAATGGGTTATTTAATGCCGATAAAATTGTTATTGCTGGTAATGTTTTTCTTCAAAAATCTATTTCTGGGAATATTTTTCCTTAAAGTAATGTATAACTCTTTGTATTGCTGGTATTTTTTTAAGTATTACTGATAATAATTTTTCCTTCAAAAATTATTGCTGGTAATAATTTTTTTTATTACAAAGTATTTCTGGTATTAAAAACTATTTTTTACACAAGTTTGGGTGTTAACTATTTGTCCATAGCTGGGACCCTAACAGGTGCTACCACCCCGGGTCAGGGTGGACCTGGGAACACCAGTAATTAAGAGGTGGTTCCACGCTCCTCAAAACCTCCTGATCAGAGGCCTTGCTGTTGGACGTAGTGTATCGTCTTACCCAGGACGGACATATGTTCTCAAGATGGCTAAACGTCTTATCTGAAAATCTGGAAAAAACAAAGTTTAGTGGCGCGTGTTAAATATTTTGTCGAATGGACATTTAACTTATGCTGTCTCACGATTTGGACAATTTTGCTGTTACACCCAGTATATTGATTGACAGAAAAAAAAAAAAAGAGTGACTGATTAACCGAAAGGTAGTCAGTATAGTTTCCAGGAGTCCATAGTGACTGATAAAATATTAATTTGTTCGAGTAGATTGTATAGCAGGTTAATGTTTCTGCGTCGCTGTGTGGAACGGACTCCCAAGAGGATGCTCCCCTATTATTATAATCTTGACCTGTTCACGTCTAGGGTGAAGCGTTATCTTCCCCGCATAGCCCCCATAATTGTGTCTTTTACTCTGTAACACTCTACCTGGAGTGTCTCTTTCGCCTTCTACAGGGTGAACATCATTGCAAAAAATATATGTTTTTATTACTTCAAACGATTTTTTTTTTTTAGTTTATACTCATAGTTGAGTAAAATGTTTATTTCGTCTACCGTCCTGCGTACTATTATAAAGAAAATCCTGCTGGCGGGGAGGCAACACATTTTCTTTATTAAATGTTCTCAAGTGCGCAAGCTGGTAGAAATTGTTTAAAAATCAGTGCGTCTACTCAAACACAGTTAACCAATAAAAATTTAAGGTTTAATGTAATAAAAGTATGTCGGATAAAAAATACAATTAACACTTTCGAAATATATGAGACTAAATAAAAATAGAAATAGTGTTTCGCCATGAACTGATCATGGGAACCACAAGAAAGTTTTAAGGAAAATGGAAACACAAAGGACACACTTAGAATGAAAAAAAGACAAATTACATTTTTCGCATAATATGGACAAACGGTTAGTAGAATTTATAGGACATATTGAAGGCAAGTTAAATAAATTTTAAAAATGATCAGTCTTTTTCTTTCTATGTGCCACGTGTCCCTTCAGGACGTAGGCGAACATAGTTCTCCACTTCCCCCAAGCCCTTATAGCTCTCAATAAGTTTCGCCCCTCTGCCACCTCCTCCAGACCACGCTGTCATCCACTTACTCAAGCTCGCAAAGTATGTCACGCACTGCTTTTCCTTGTCTCTTTTTCCCTCTATTCGACCTGAGAGTATCAGATTCTCCAAGCCCTCCTTTCTCATTACGTGTCCCAGAAATTTCAGCTGCCTCTTCTTGATGTTAAGTATAAGCTTCCTTCTTGTTTGCATCCTCTCCAAAATTCCATCGTTCCTCACACGCTCGGTTCCTGATATCCTTAGCATTCTTCTGTAGAACCATATATCCGTTT